GGTGTGGTGGTGGGCACCTATAATCCCAGCTACTAGGGAGGCTGAGGTAGGAGAATCGTTAGAACCTGGGAGGCAGAGGTTGCAGTGAGCCAAGATCACACCATTGCACTCCAGCCTGGGCAACAAGAGCGAAACTCCATCTCAAAAAAAAAAAAAAAAGAAAAAATTAGCTGGGTGTGTTGGTGCTCACGTGTAGTCCTAGCTACTGGCTGAGACAGGAGAATCGCTTGAACTTGGGAGGTGGAGGTTACCGTGAGCTGAGGTCATGCCACTGCACTCCAGCCTGGGTGACAGAGCAAGACTCCATCTCAAAAAAACAAAACAAAACATTGGTTTGGTTCAGAAAGGCGGGACAACTCAAAGCATGAGGGCTTCCAGGTGAATTTAAACATTTTCTGGTTGACAATTGGTTGAGTTGTCTAAAGACCTTGGATTGATAGAAAGGGAATGTTCAGGTCAAGATAAAGATTGTGGAGACCAAAGTTCTTTTGAAGTCTTATACTGACTGTCCTTAGAGAAGACAGATGACAAGTGTTTCCTATTCAGTTCTTAGTTAATCTCTTTAGGATTGGGAGGGTCTAGAAGAAAAAGATCTAGCTATGTTAATAAAGATTCTTTATAGTACAAATTTTCCCCCACAAAAAACAGCTTTGCAGGGCCATTTCAAAATATGGCAAAGAAACATGTTTTGGGGTGAAATATTTTTATTTTCTTCTTTGTCTCATGTTATGCCAGAGTCACGTTGGAAAGTATGTCATGTTATATATGGTTAAATAAAACCCATCTTTTTTGTTTGTTTGCTTTTGAGAGGGAGTCTCACTCTGTTGCCAGGCTGGAGTGCAGTGGTGGAATCTCGGCTCACTGCAACCTCCAACTCCCGGCTTCAAGCAATTCTCCTGCCTCAGCCTCCCAAGTAGCTGGGACTAAGGCATGTGCCACCACAACTAGCTAATTTTTGTATTTTTAGTAGAGATGGGGTTTCACCACGTTGGCCAGGATGGGCTCAATCTCTTGACCTTGTGATCCACCCACCTCTGCCTCCCAAAGTGCTGGGATTACTGGTGTAAGCCACTGGTCCTGGCCAATAAAACCCATCTTAGGAGAATTTATGATATGTAGGGTATGACTCCCCAGACCCCTTAGACAGGAATTTGGGCAAGATAAAAAAAAAAAAAAGTCAGAGTTTAGTCCTCACATAACTATTTTTTACATAAATCCCCAAATAGTTTATTTCTCACAAAACATACTGGGCCAATAGTACAGAAATGATTTGTCAACTTCCAAATTTGTCCAGCTAGGAAAACACTAGAAACCAGTTAAAACTTGTTGTTGTTGTTGTTGTTGAGGGGGAGTCTTGCCCTGTCGCCAGGCTGAAGTGCAGTGGCTTGATCTCGGCTCATTGCAGCCTCCGTCTTCTGGGTTCAAGCAATTCTCCTGCCTCAGCCTCCCAAGTAGCTGGGACTACAGGCATGTGCTGCCATACCCGGCTGAGTTTTACATTTTTAGTAGGGATGGGGTTTTACTATGTTGGCCAGGATGGTCTTGATCTCTTGACCTCGTGATCTGCCCACCTCAGCCTCCCAAAGTGCCGGGATTGCAGGCACGAGCCACCGTACCTGGCACATTTTTTTTTTTTTTTTTTTTTCCTGAAACAGAGTTTCACTGTTGTTGCCTAGGCTGGAGTGCAATGGCTCGATCTTGGCTCACCGCAACCTCCACCTCCCGGGTTCAAGCGGTTCTCCTGCCTCAGCCTCCTGAGTAGCTGGGATTACAGGTGTGTGACACCATGCCTGGTTAATTTTGTATTTTTAATAGAGACGGGGTTTCCCCATGTTGGTCAGGCTGGTCTTGAACTCCTGACCTCAGGTGATCTGCCCACCTCAGCCTCCCAAAGTCCCGGGATTACAGGCATGAGCCACCATCCCTGGCCCAGTTAAACTGTTTGGGCAGGACAGGACAAATGCTCTGTGTCTTCCACAAATAAGTTGCAAATAGTAAAAAGGAGGGAGAAAGAGCCTATAGATTAAAAGAGGTTCAGGAAATGTGCAATCCAAATGCCATGTGAAGACTTTTTTTTGGCTCCTATAAAACAAGTTGGCCTTTTAAATGAAGAAATTTAAATGATGATGGAATATTTGATGATTTTGAAAAATTACTGCTATTTTTTCAATGTCATATTATTATGGCTGTGTTTTTAAAGAAAGCCCTTATCTTCTTGAAGTATACTGAAATATTTAAAAATGAGATGAAGATGTCTGGTGTTTGCAAAATAATCCTTCTTGGGAAAAGAGATAAGACTGAAATATGACTGATCATGAGTTGATAATTGTTGGAACTTGGCGTTCATTCTTCTAGACTCTACTTTTTAATGTATTTGATACTTTATTCCTATCACTTATTAATACTAATTATACAAATAAAAATATCAACACATGAAAAATTCAAGACACTTGTAAAAAGGAACAATGACATTTTCATACATGATATCATCTATTTTAATATCTAAATAGAGGACAGTTGAGGTCTGACATGGAATACTGGGGTAGAAGTTTTTTTTTTAAATCAGAGTCTTGCTCTGTTGTCCAGGCTGGAGTGCAGTGGTACAATCTCAGCTGAATGCACCCTCTACCTCCCAAGCTCAAGAGGCTGAGACAGGTAAATCACTTGAGGTCAAGAGTTCAAGACCAGCCTGGCCAACATGTCAAAACCTTGTCTCTACTAAAAATACAAAAAATGAGTCAGGCATGGTGGCACACACCTGCAGTCCCAGCTACTTGGGAGGCTGAGGCATGAGGTTTGCTTGAGTCTGGGAGGCAGAGGTTGCAGTGAGCCGACATTGTACCACTGCACTCCAGCCTGGGTGACAGAGCAAGACTCTATCTCAAAAAAAAAAAAAAAAAAAAAAGTCTATTGTTATTCTTTGACTGTTAAAATGTTTACCTAAGTCTTCCTTTCAAATGAGGTACTAGAGAATGCTTCAGGAAAAATGAGAAACTGTTAAAATTTTCTATGCCAAACTTTATTTTTAAAAACATTTAAGGCTGGTTCACACCTGTAATCCCAGCACCTTGGGAGGCCAAGGCAGGAGGATAGCTTGAGGCCAGGAGTTTGAAACCAGCTGGGGTAACATAGGGAGACCACATCCCAATTAAAAATATATATTAAAAATATTAAAAGAGGCCGTATGCAGTAACTGACACCTGTAATCTCAGCACTTTAGGAGGCTGAGGCAGGGAGAACACCTGAGGTCAGGAGTTTGAGATCAGCCTGGGCAAGATGGCAAAACCTAGTATCTACTAAAAGTATAAAAATTAGCTGGGCATGTGGCACAACCTTGTAATCACAGCTACTCGGGAGGTTGAGGCAGGAGAAACGCTTGAACCCAGGAGGTGGAGGTTGCAGTGAGCTGAGATCACACCAGTTCACTCCTTAAGACAATCAAATGGACAAAATAAGGGACCAAGTAATCAACCCAAATTATCTTTGGGGACACATTATTCAAAAGCACACCAAAGGCACAACATTGAGAAAATTGGGTAGTCAGGTACAAAAGATTGAAATGGCAACCCTATGTTGCACGATACACAAAACTCTACGAATAATAAATCTAATAGTTAAATTCAACCCTGAAAGCAAAACACTTCAAGGAGAAAACATGGGATAAGCATATATTTGGGTGAAACTTGACCCTGTGCACACGGGTTGCAAACAGAAAAAAGAAAAAAGAAGGAAAAATTAGGGAGAAAATACTCATAGACAATAAAACGGCTTAACAATCTTTTTTTTTTTGGATGGGACACTGAAATCACTGCCAACAAATGCAAATGTAAACATGAGAGACTAAGTTCAACATTAGAGACTTTGCACAAGAGAGAACAAATGAACCCAAAGAGAAGGCATCCTAGACCAGGCGTGGTGGCTCATGCCTGTAATCCCAGCACTTTGGGAGGCTGAGGTAGGTGGATCATGAGGTCAGGAGTTGAAGACCAGCATGGCAACATGGTGAAACCCTGTCTCTATTAAAAACTCAAAAATTAGGCTGGGCATGGTGGCTCACGCCTGTAATCCTAGCACTTTGGGAGGCTGAGGTGGGTGGATCATGACATCAGGAGTCCAAAACCAGCCTGGCCAATATGGTGAAAGCCCGTCTCTACTAAAAATACAAAAATTAGCCCTGCATGGTGGTGCACCTCTGTAGTCCCAGCTACTCAGGAGGCTGAGGCAGGAGAATCGCTTGAACCTGGGAAGTGGAGGTTGCGGTGAGCCAAGATTGCGCCTCTGCTCTCCAGTCTGGGCAACAAGAGTGAAACTCTGTCTCAAAAACGCAAACAAACAAACAAAATCACAATTAGCTATTTGAAAACCATCTTGCAGAGATCCTAGCATTTCTGAAACCTAATTTTGAGACATTCTAGGGGCTTTTCCAAATTTCCACCATATTAGATTCACTATATTAGAGTTCTAGATCATGCCTCTGTAGTCAGGCATTTGATGGTGGTAAATTCTAAGGATTACACAGAGTATCATTGCCAGAAGTTACCTAGATTTGGCCTGTCTGCTGAAGTGGCCAAACGAAGCCAGGGATGATCCCACCCTGTGCCACAGAACATACTTTTAAATATTAATTGCCATTTGCTGAAATTTGCCTTCCATAGGATATTTACCCTCTTTCCCTTACTCTATTACCGAACAGCTCTCCTATTTCCTACCCTTCCTCCCCAGTGTCACCCTGCAAATGAGGGATCGATTTTAGTGCCAGAACTGAGGTCCCCTGACTTCCACTCTAAGCAATACCCTAAAAAGACCCTCATTTTATCTACACTTTGCGTTCAACACATTTAGTAAGCAGTTGTTTGCAGGGATTGATGGGCCCTTTGTTTTAGGTTGCAAGACAAGAAAGAAAACCTTTTTGATTTAGACTTCTTAATGCCATGCAGTAAAGCAAACACACACACTTGTGTAAGCCAAAAATACCGAATGCCCATGTGCTCTTCCACCAGAAGGGATCTGATGAGAACTCTCCGGGATCACCAAAGAAGACTCGCCAGCGCTGTCCAGCAGGAGGCCGAGGGCCTCTCTCTGTGAGTTTTTCCATTGTGAACCTAAAATATCTGAGATGGGTCTCAATAAATTTGGAAAGTTTATTTTGCCAAGGTTCTGGATGTGACACACCCTCAGGAAGTTTTGAGGACACGTGCCTAAGATGGTTGGGGTACAGCCTGCTTTTACATGTTTTAGGGAGATGTGAGCCATCAATCAATATGTGTAAGACGTGCCTTGATTTTGTCCAGAAAGGCGGGACAACTCAAAGTGTGGGAGGGGGCTTCCAGATCATAAGTGGATAAGACAAATGGTTGCATTCTTTTGAGTCTCTGATTAACCTTTTTTTGAATACACAATTTACATGTGAAAGGAGAGGAGGACTCTTCACTTATGCCCCAGTCTGGCTTAGTGAGGCGACAGGGCAGAAGCAGCAATGAGATATGCATTTGTCTCAGGTGAGCAGAGAGATGCCATTGTGTTCTGTCCATTGTGTGGCTAATGGTGAGGGGGTATGGAGCTTATCTTTGCAGCTTTCTAATTGAGGAATAAACTGGGAACAGGTTTGCTGATGCCGTTCCCAGCTTGACTTCCCTTTGGGTTAGTGATTTGGAGTCCTGAGATTTGTTTCCTTTCACACCTTATAACCTGCTATGTGATTTATTAGGTGATAGTGTGATCTTTGAGAATCTACTATTTGGGATTTGAGGATAATTAGCTAAGCTAGGGGGAAATTATTAAAATAATCCTAAAAAAGAAATCCCTTTTCTTTCTGATTTCTTCCTGGTCATTATTTCCTTGGCAATGACATACTTTGGGTTTAAGAAACATTCACGGAAGTTATTTTCTTCTAGAATTGAGATTTTTTTTAAATTTACACTTGAGATTCTTTGAAAAATGTTGGCAGCATTTACTGAATTACACTTCACATCTGAAACATAGTACTATCTCAGCATTCTAAGAATGCTGTTGCTTTTTTTAAAAATTCCATTTATTTATTTTATTGCATTTTAGGTTTGGGGGTACATGTGAAGAACATGCAAGATTGTTGCATAGGTACACACGTGGCAGTGTGATTTGCTGCCTTCCTCCCCATCACCTACATCTGGCATCCTTCCCCTTGCTCTCTCTCCCCAACTCCCCACCCCCCACCGTCCCTCCCCTATTTCCCCCCAACAGATCCCAGTGTGTAGTGCTCCCCTCCCTGTGTCCATGTGTTCTCATTGTTCAACACCCACTTATGAGTGAGAAGATGCGGTGTTTGATCTTCTGCTCTTCTGTCAGTTTGCTGAGAACGATGGTTTCCAGGTTCATCCATGTCCCTACAAAGGACACAAACTCATTGTTTTTAATGGCTGCATAATATTCCATGGTGTATATGTGCCACATTTTCCCTGTCCAGTCTATCATCGATGGGCATTTGGGTTGGTTCCAGGTCTTTGCTATTGTAAACAGCGCTGCAATGAACATTCGTGTGCACGTGTCCTTATAGTAGAACGATTTATAATCCTTTGGATATATACCCAGTAATGGGATTGCTGGGTCAAATGGAATTTCTATTTCTAGGTCCTTGAGGAATCACCACACTGTCTTCCACAATGGTTGATTACACTCCCACCAACAGTGTAAAAGTGTTCCTATTTCTCCACATCCTCTACAGAGAATGCCGTTGCTTTTTACAGGTCCTGTTGTCAGTGAATTTGCCTTTAATATATTAAATCAGGGAAGGATACAATTTATTTTTCATGTGAAAATGTGATAGTTTATGGACTTTGAAAACCTGGTTCAGTACTTTATTGTTATAAGACTTTGAATGTGTGGCTCTAACATGAGTTTATTTCACTGTTCTTTAAGGTTGTGATGGTGGAAACGATACCTCACAGTAACATGTAGGAAGAATTCAGAATTCTTTTCCCTGCTTACCGAGTGATGGTGCTCAGTTTTTTTTTTTTTTTTTGAGACGGAGTTTCATTCATGTTACCCAGGCTGGAGTGCAATGGCGCGATCTCGGCTCACCGCAACCTCCGCCTCCTGGGTTCAGGCAATTCTCTTGCCTCAGCCTCCCGAGTAGCTGGGATTACAGGCACGCACCACCATACCCAGCTAATTTTTTGTATTTTTAGTAGAGACGAGGTTTCACCATGTTGACCAGGATGGTCTCGATCTCTTGACCTCGTGATCCACCCGCCTCGGCCTCCCAAAGTGCTGGGATTACAGGCTTGAGCCACCGCGCCCGGCCTCAGTTTTAAATCCCATGTGCCAATTAAGTAAAAAGTTGTGTTAAAATCTGTCCTGCAATTTTTAATTTGTGATAACATCACTCAGTTCTCCAAAGTAATTGGAAGATACTGACTTAAAAATTATGTAATTAAAACATTATAATTGTATATAATTCATGAGGCACAGTTTGATGTTTTTATCCACATGCACATTCTATAATGATCAAACAATTTAAGTCTAATGCCCTGTTGATTTGAGTTTGACAAGTTGTAAAACTACAAAAACAATAGCCACTTTCTACTAGACAAAGTTTCCTAATCATCTTAGGTCTGTTCCGTCTTCACCAGCAGTTTCATGTCAGTCATCTCCTTGTTCCATTGGCCTAATAATGCCCGGCTCCCTATTCAAACCAAGCTGGTTTAAAAAGGGAAGAAGGAAACACTTTTGAAGAAAATGCCTGTTTGAATATACCAGGTAAGAACCATGTGAAAAATCCTAAAACAGAGAATCCAGGTCGATGTCAGAGTAGAGTGTACCTGGTGGGTCCAGAAGTGCTCCTGGTGGCCTTCTTCTGGATTAGTTATGCCTCTGGGGCCACATCTTTTCACCACCTTGCTTATGAATCTGTTATGCCAGGCCACAGCGATGACTGTAGAGCTAGTGCCATGGAGTGCTAGCTAAGGACACAGATGTGAAAACACACTCGATTGGCCAGCACCATCACTGAGCTGCTCTGTGATGTGAGATGACGCCAGAAAAGAGAGGCGTGGGGAGTGGGGTAAGGAAACACACTGCTGAAATTAACTTATTTTATCTGGAGAGAACAACAAGTGAAGGCTCATAATGATTGGGTAATGACTAATAGGGCGGTGATGGCCATTATTTATTGTATACCTACTCTGAGCTCCATGCTTTAAATAAATCTTCAATTCTTAAAAAACCCTCAGGAAGTGACAGGTTGTACCTGTATTTCCATTTGTCTGATAAAAAACAACTCCAGAAAAGGAAAAGTGAATATCCAGTGTCACAGAGCAGGGATTTAAAATCAGAACTGTCTACCCTGTCTGGGTTTTTTACACCGATCAAAAGTGAGAAGCAAAGAATTTATAAATATCTATATGGGTGGGTGCAGTGACTCACGCCTGCAATCCCAGCACTTAGGAATATGAGGCTGAGGTGAGAGGATTGCTAGAGGCCAGGAGATAGAGAGCAACCTGGGCAATACAGTGAGGTCCTGTCCATACAGAAAAAAGCCAGTTGTGGTGCCATGCACCTATACCACTAGCCACTTCACAGGCTGAGGCAGGCAGGAGTTCAAGGCTGCAGTGAGCTGTGATTGCACCACTGCAATTCAGCCTGAGTGACAGAGTCAGATCTCTCTCAAAATTATATATTTTTAAGAGATGGCTCTTAAAAAAGAGCCGGTGGGCGCGGTGGCTCAAGCCTTGTAATCCCAGCACTTTGGGAGGTGAAGGTGGGCAGATCGCAAGGTCACGAGATTGAGACCATCCTGGCCAACATGGTACAATTCCGTCTCTACTAAAAATACAAAAATTAGCTGGGCATGGTGGTGCATGCCTGTAGTCCCAGCTTCTCAGGAGGCTGAGGCAGGAAAGTCACTAGAACTCAGGAGGTGGAGGTTGCAGTGAGCTGAGAGCACGCTACTGCACTCCAGCCTGTCAACAAAGGGAGATTCCAACTCAAATAATGATAATAATAATAACTTACATAAATAAGTAGAGATGTGGTGAAGAGCTGGAGGGGAGTATGGGGTGAATCTGGGCAGGAACCAGAGCCAGAACCAAAGGAGCCACGTGTGCTGATTGATTTAAGCTCAGGAGCTGTGAGGGCCACTGAAAGACCTTGTGTGGAGATTGATGTGATCTAACTGGCCTCCTAGCCTAGCCCTAGCTAGCAGGGGTGGAGGGGATGGGTGGGAGAGA